GCAGTTGCAAAGTCTTTTATTTGTAGCTTCTAGAATCTGCACACTGTTGAGAGCAAAACAGGCTGTGCACAACTACAGGACTTTTTCATTATGCAAGTTGCACTGTAATTTCTACTATGTTCATAAGTTTCTTTTGAAGCCTGGGTCAGTGATATGCAATAAAGTTTGATGGACTGATGTTATTGAAGCAGAAGTGACACCTGCTTTCTAATACAATAGCGGGCACTGGCAGCCTGGAGACATTGTGGGGGGAGGGGGAGGGGAAATGACTCAGGTTTATTAACTACCACCTTGAGGAAACCGATACTACCTTGAAATTATTGTGAGGAATTAATCCACAATTTCCCGCAGCTAGAAAATAATCAACTCAAAGACCGTTGAGAACACTGTCTTGCACATTAATAAAACCATGCAGGCACATGCTTATTTTTAGCCTTGTAAATGATAGCCTGGTGCTGTGAACAAACAAAATGAAGCATTCATGAAGATGTTTGTAAATCTGTCAACAAAAAGCCATGTAATATAATCTATTAACTATCTATGTTTGCAGCTCGTTAAAAGGTGCATGTCAAGGGCCATAGTTAAAATCTGTTCCAGTGCAGGAATAGATTCTTTTGCTTTTTAACCCCCTGTGAAAAATGCCCCATTCTGAGGAGCTGCAGAGACATCATGGCCACCACTTCAACATGCAAAATAAAACTAACATTTTAGCTCAATTTCCTGTAGCCTGCTCTGTAAGCCACCAAAAAGGCATTGAATCATGGGACGGGGAATGAATGCTTGACAGCCTGTCCTTTCAACTCCATCCAATGCGGACAAACTGCTTGAATTCTGATCATTCCTTTATAATACAATAAGATTAAATCAGTTTACCTTTTAAACCAGTTTATTAAACAGTTTATTACTCTTGGACTAATCCCAGCTTTCCAAATGGAACCAGTATTTCTGTAAACAGTTGTAAATCAGCTCTTATTGCAGTGGAGGGATCAACCCCTTTTTTTGTACATATGCAATCAACTTTTTGTTAGGACGTGTCTGGTTATGATAAATAATTCAAAGTTCATTATCAGATGTGACCTTTTATTCTCGCAAGAAAAACTCTGCTACAGGTTTGTGTTGAGTATAAAATAAATGAAGTCAATGATTGTCTGAGGGTTTGAATTTTTTTCTTTCTGAAGCGAAGAAAACAAATACATTTTACTTTATCTCCCTAAGGTAGATATTTCATCTCAGCAAGCCTTCTTTATCATAAACAACATGGAAAATCAATATTAAGTTTGTAAATCTAAGGGAATATTCTGTTAGGCTATATTTACGCTTACAATAAAACACAGTGTACTCCTTTACACAGTGGTACCATGTTTCCCCCAAAATAAGACTTATATTCTTTTGACACCCTCCTCCAAAATAAGGGCTTGCCCTTATTATCGGGGGGGGGGGTGTCTTATTATTTTGGGGGTGCAGGAGACGGCGAGCGTGGGACTGGATGTCCCGTCACTACTGTTGCCTCCCCTCCCTGTTCTTCGCGCCGGCTGAACGGCTCAACACATCCCACCCCACCTCAATGGCAACAGCTGCTTCCCTTCCCCGCCGTCTCTTTATCAAGAGGGGTGGCAGGTGGGGCGGGAGAGAAGTGAGATGCATGGAGCGAGATGTGGCTCTCCTTGCCGTTTCTTCTCCCACCCTCGCCAAGCATGACAGGGCTCCTGCCCCTCGCTTAGCCACCTGCCCCCTTTAGGGGTGCAATTTGGGGGTTGCAGGTAGGGTGGGTGAGAAGCAGGACGCGTGTTTTACCTTTCCAGCTCCATTGTGTTCCTCACCGTTGTATCCAGGGAAACACGCTGTAAAAGAAAGCCTTCTCATGAGTTCAATAAAACTTCTCAAACTCGCGAGAAGGTTTTCTTTTACAGCGTGTTTCCCCGGACACAATGGCGAGGAAAGTGACGGAGCTTGAAAGGTAAGACCTGCATCCCACTTCTCGCCCGCCCCACCTGCCACTCCCAAATTGCAACCCTAAAGGGGTCAGGTGCTAAGCAAGGGGCAGGAGCCCTGCCATGCCCAGTGGGGGGGGGGGAGAAGAGACGCCAAGGGGAGCCACATCTCGCTCCACACGTCTTGCTTCTCCCCCACCCCACTTGCCATCCCTCTCGATAAAGAGACAGCAGGGAAGGGAAGCAGCCAAGCTGCTGTTGCCATTCGGGTGGGGTGGGACGTGTTGGGCCACTCGGCTGGTGCGAAGAGCAGTTTTCATAACATTTTTCACTTCATTTCATTTCATCAATATTTCATTTTATTACTGAGCTGATATGTAATATTTTTTTCAAGATCATATCTAAGAGGATATAATCTAGGAATTTCAACCTATTGAGAGCTATGAAAATCTTGCATTTCTATTTCTTCTTTTTCTTAGCTGAGTAGATTTTTCTTTGTGTCTTTTTTTTGCTTTTCTCTTTCTGCCTAGCACAATCTTTCTTGCCTTCACTCAGAAGAGAGTTAACTTGCTCACTTGTTGCCTTTGTCATGGAAAGACCCTTGCTTAGGCTGGCTACAGGTAGCCCTTCTGTTAGTAAACCTGTTTTTTTCCTTAGGCTGTACAACCTCCTGGACTGCCTTTCCCAGTAAGTCTCACCTTATGCCCAGAAAACTATGGAATATTCTTCTGTCCTGTTACTGGGAAAAGCACAAGTTGAGCTGACATGAGTTTCAGTGCTGCTTCCACCATGATGCTCCTCTTCCCAGAACACTTTCCATGCCCTAAACTAAGGGTGTCAAACTTGCGGCCCACAGGCCGGATGCGTCACACGCTGGCCACGCCCACCCCCGGTTTAGCAAAGGGGGAAAAAGTCATGATACATCACGTGACGACAACATGACACCGTGAGTTTGATGTCCCTGCCCTAAACTGTTTGTCTAATGGCCTGGCCTTTCTACTCAGGGTAGAAGGTATTTGTGGTAAACCACAGAAAATGATTTGGAAGGCCACACTCAGCTCTGCTCACTCTGTTTTCATTGTGACACACAAATCCCTTTTGATGGCATTTTTATAAGGCAACCTGGACACTTCTTCTTTGACCCCCTGTAAGCATTTTATTTATTTAGCATTTTATTACACATTTCCGGAAATAAAATGCTATTTTGTCACTGTTGTTGTTTTTTTTTAAAGAGAATATTTCAAAGTCTTGACTCAATTCTTTTAACATGCTACAGAAATATTCTACTAAATATGTCATTCTACTTAGAGTTAGTAGGTTCATTTAACCATCTCTAAATATTTATTCTGGTCACGGGGAACCTCTGCCCAGTGTCTTCCAGCTCACACTGCATCCTCTCACCTACCAGCACCTTCATCTCCTCAAAATCTACCTCACTGTTTTCATCTTCATATTTGAAACCTATCTCCAAGAAATTAGGTTCTTCTTTCTTTTGAGGGACGAGAATATGGAGGCTATGTGGATGTGAATAGGAAAACTATGGAAACAGATGTACACAAGTGTGAAAGTGTGAATAGGACAATGGTGGAAAAGTGCACTGGCAGATATAATTGTGTTTGCAGAAATAATGAGGGAAAATGTTGTATGATATTAAGAGATACAGGCATGCATTTATCCCTCCTTTCCCAGTATAGGGCCTCCCCAGAAGCTATCAAGATGAGCAAGTGGTTCTTTGAAAACAATTCCCCATCTGGAAGCATTCATACTGGCTGTTGCATTCCCAAGAAAAGTCATTTCCTAATCTTTTTTTCCCTAGAAACTGTTTCGAATCGGGAAGATGAATGGGGAAAACAATAACTAATTATGGTACAATCGTATGCATACTTACTCTGAAACAAATTTGATTTTTTTTTTCTTCTCAGAAAGCATATCACTCCGCTGAGATAACTGGATATTTAAAGGAGACAGTCTGTATACCATATGATCAAAAACAGAAATGTGTTTTCCTCATAAAATCTGACTCGCTTGGATATTAGGAAAACATATTACAATTTGAGGCTCCATTCTCTCTAATGAATGCTAGACAGAACACACAAATCATCTACAACAGCAGATTTTTTTTCAATTATAATAGAGAGTAAAAACCACAAAACTGGTTAAATTTTAAAAACTGGATACTTTGACCTGTAATGAGTTACAGACTTGGGCAATAATAACTCACAGTCCAATCAAGTAATTTTGTCCACACTCAGCAAAGTAATTAATAATACTAAGAACCAAACAGAAAAAGTGAGCTGTATAAACATTTTTGTCTTATCTAAAAGTGCTCCCCCCTCCCTGGATGGGAGTTCAGAAACATACCCATGATGACAGGAATGTATTCCTTTTTCTACAGATAGTGGAGTGATGCAGAATGCAATTGCCTTAGCAATAAAGTTTCTTTTTCTCTCACACAATATTTTAGATTTGGTGAATCCATCTGCATTCAGTGCTGTGATAATACTGTTACATCTGAAGGCTACATGGGTTGAAATAATATTTTTGATGTGGTTCCCTATTGGTTGCACACCAAATGGAGGAGCCAAAATAAATGGCTTCAAAGTGGTGGGCTCTCCATTATTTTCTAATAGCAAAACTTTAGCAGGTTATGTCATGAAGTGCATGGACGTTACATGTCCCAATTAAGCCATAGATAGATTGTTAGTGGTGGCATGAAAGCACTATTGATGTCTTTAGCAACAAAGAAGATCACTTCCTAGGTACTGCATGGTAAACCTTGGAGAGGAAGAGAGTCTCTCAAGTAATTTTGTTGCACAAAAAAACAGAAGCCTACTCTTTGGTATCCATAGAAGCAAAACAACTGATTCTGGTTTGAACTGTACTATACCCAAGCCAATAACTTTTTATTTGACTAAGAATTACTTCAGTAGGTTGTTAACTGTAAACATGTTCTTGTTATCCGCTCAATACTCCTGATTTGTTTGCGGGGAGAAAAAAAATACTGTGTCAGTATCTCACATAGCCAAAACAGACTTTTTACAGAAGGAAAACTTTTCAGTTTACATTTACCTTTAGCACAGTGATATTCCACGCAAAACTCTCAATTGCTTTGCTGAGTTTTCTTCCTTTCAAGCCTTCCTTTGTTCCTAAGTTGTGTAGTTCTTCATGGAGCTCCATTCCTAACAAAATATGGGGCACAGTAATTACAGGCAGTTATTGAAGGAAAGTAAATTTTTGAAAAGTTGTAACTGTTTATTATGATCCAGATGTTTTACAGACAATAGGTAATCAATCTGGTGCTGGCAAAACCTGTGTGCCTTCAAACGTCGCTCTTGATGCTCAGCAGTTTCCCTGCCTAAAAACATGTTTTAATAAAACAATAATTAACTTATAACCACTATGCTCCAAAATACCAAAAAACAAGCACCCTTGAAGTGATGTCCCAGTGCCTGGAGGCCGTACGAATCTGGATGGGGAGGAACAGACTCAGGCTCAACCCATCCAAGACCGAGTGGCTGTGGTTTCCGACATCCTGATATAGTCAGTTGGTGCCATCACTGACTATTGGGGGCGAGTCATTGGCCCCCACGGAGAGGGCTCGCAACTTGGGGGTCTTCTGGACTCACAGCTGTCTTTAGAAGAGCACTTGACGGCTGTGGCCGGGAGGGCGTTTTATCAGGTTCGCCTGATTTGCCAGTTGCGTCCCTTTCTGGATTGGGACTCGTTAAATACGGTCACTCACGCCCTCGTCACTTCCCGCCTGGATTACTGCAATGCTCTCTACATGGGGCTCCCCTTGAGGAGCACCCAGAGGCTCCAGCTGGTCCAGAATGCGGCCGCGCGGGTGGTTATGGGAGCGACAGGGCGCTCCCATGTGACCCCCCTCCTGCGTAAGCTGCACTGGCTCCCGGTGGTCTTCCGGGTGTGCTTCAAGGTTTTGGTTACCACCTTTAGAATGCTCCATGGCTTAGGACCGGGGTATTTATGAGACCGCCTGCTGCCACCAGTAGCCTCTCACCGACCAGTATGCTCCCATAGAGAGGGGCTCCTCAGGGTGCCGTCGGCCAAACAATGTCGACTGGCGGCCCCCAAGGGGAGAACCTTCTCTGTGGGGGCACCCGCCATCTGGAACGAGCTCCCCCCGGAGATACGGAAGATCCTGGACCTGCACGCTTTCCGCCGTGCCATCAAAACATTTCTTTTCCAGCAGGCCAGCCTGGCCTAACCTCTCTTTTAAACTTTTAAAATTTTTTTAAAATTCTTCAATTTTAAATTTGTCTTATGAATTATTATTCAATAATAATAATAATAATAATAATAATAATAATAATAATAATAATAGTAATTTATTGCAGCAATACTTTAGGTTCCACAACCTTGTAAGTAAGCAAGCAACCTACAAAGGTTGAATGAAAAGTAATGGCTCCAGCTCCATAACTTTAGTTTAAATGGGAATACTTGAATAAATGAAACAAGAAAATAATCCTTTGAACGAGCTTTCTTGTTGCTAGTATTTACAGTACTTCTCCACATAATCATCACCATTCTCTACTCGATTCTGCCAACAATGAACAATGTTCATAAAACCATAACAAATTAACTTTCTTCAACTAAGTCCTAATGGTCTTTTCCACCTCTTCATTTGAATCCAGCTGATGTTTGCAAAGGTATTCCTTCAATTTTAGGGAGTGTAGAAGTTGTATAACTCCAAGTCTGAGCTATTTGGTGGATGGGATAACACAATGAGATCCACTTGGCAACTGAAATGGCCTTTTGGGTGATTTGTTAAAGTGTGAGACCTAGCATTATCATATTGCAAAAGATTTTCCTCCTTATACTTCCAAATTTGAATTCTTTTCAATCATACCAAAGTTTTGTGTGTTGCAGTACAGCATTGAGTTGATAAGTGGAGCTAGGTTCGAGAAAATCCATGTGAATTATACATCTGCATCCCCAAAAAGACTATGACCATGAATTTTCCTGGGTTTTAATTTCCCCACCTCCACCTCCACAAGCTTTGTGAATATATTCCATGGGCTGAAGCTTCATTTCTGGGTCATAATAATGAGCCTCTGTTTTATGGCTGTCACAATCCTTTGAAGCAATTCTTCCCCTTCCTTATCACAGCATGACAGTAATTGCTGGCAAATTTCAATTTTTGAAACTTTTATCTCTACTGTTGTCATGCAAAGAACACATCTTGTTACTAACTTTCTAACACAGAAACACATCAATTTTGTGATCTATATGTTTCTGTCAAATGTCAAGCTGGACAGTAATTTCCCTTTGAGTGGTACATAGAATATCCTTAATCAGACTTAGCTATATGAAATGTAATAGTTAATATCACAGGTTGTTTCCTTTTTTCTTAATCACATGAAACTGATCTTCTTTGGTTTACCTTCTTGAATTTTTTGGACCAGCAATACACAATACAGTCAATATAGTCATAATTATAAACAACATGTATTCAGTGACAAATTTCAGTTGGAGGAACTTTTTCAGCAGCCAAAAATTCAATTATGGAGCACTACTTCAAGAGTACTGAAGGTTCATTTCATGAATAGTGACTTTTTTTTTAACAGTAGTTTCCCACCAACTGAAGCAAAGAAGCAGATTCTAAAGAACATGTCAAAGCTTTTAGGATGTTAGTAGAGCCATGTGTTAGCAACTTAAAACACTGGAAACATTCCTTTCACTTCAACCCACGTACAGGTAGTTTGTTTTCTGTTAATGTGACTGATCATGCTTTCTGAATTGGAAGGAAAAAAGCTGATTTGAAGTTTGCATCTGTCAACCATACCTTAAAGCAACAGCACTGATGTCTCTGGTTTAAAGATATTTCTAAGAAGTGCTATGTACATGTCTGCCATGCTTCAAATCATTTCTTTCCCTTCAACTGTTGATCCTTCTGCATCCCTAACTTCTATTTGGCTTACTGTTTTATCCTAATCAAACACTGAGTTTCACAAAAGACATGAGGATTATCCCAAAGCTTCATGAAGAGTCATAGTCTCCATTTGCAGGTCTGCCAGTCTCCCACATAATTATTGGTTCTTGTTTATTTCATTCTGAAAAAAATTAAAAGCTTAATTGCTGAGAAAAAATGAAAACAAACAGTAATGCAAGCAATTAGTTTTATCCAGTGTGTGGGGTATGGTAAATACTGGATTCACTAAAATCAATTCAAGCCATAGTTATACTGTATGACCTGGGTCTTTTTAAACTGTTATAGTGATATTACTCTGGTTGATAAAATGTAATTAAGTCCATTTAAGCATGTTTCTAACAAAGTAATCAGGCTTGTTACAGACACTTGTAAAGCTTAAATTAATGAAAATCTATTTAATTAAATACATGCTACTTTTTAATTAGAGTAATCTCTAACCCACTTATGTGACTCAAAATGCACACACATACACACATAGCTTTTAGGAAGGGAAAGGGCTTTTAACATTTTAAAAAGGCAGTCATATTTCTTGAGTAGCACATTGCAGATAAAAGTGAAACTATTTAAAATGCTTATTCACTAGAGACTAATTTTTCAGAATGACAATTGACTCCACAAATTACACTAAGCAAAAATTTAGTTTATTGGGTTTCCTTAACATTTCAATCCCCAACCTAGCACCTTCCAGATGTGTTGGAACTACAAGTCCTAGAATTCCCAAGTCTGGGGAGTCAAACTTAGTGTGCAGTAGTGAACAGAGCCACTGTCATTTTAACTGTTCATGGTTTAGCATGTTTTATGAACTTGATAAAGTATTCATAAAGCATGGCTTAATGCAATCAGTTTTATTCTTATACTTCTTGTCTCTCTGTATATTTTTATCTGGATAAAATCAGGTGCTACTTGTGGAAGTTGTTTTATTTCTGCTTGTTTGACCAGAAAAAGAATGTTAAGTGTGGACTGTGTGAAGAATATAAACCATAGCCTAATTCCCTTCAAGATTTAGGAATTATGTCTCACTATTATACTTCATCATCTGCTTCTACTAATTACTGCACAATATACTACATGGGATCTTGTAATGAAATTTCACCACCTACAGTTATTTAGAAAGTTATAAAGGAATGTTTACACAACAGTTTTGTGTAGCACACTAAGTACATGAGTACAGTACAGTATGTTTCAGAAGCTATTAAGATGTGCTCTATGTTCTTCTTTTTATTACCTGCATGGGCAGAACTAAGAGTTCAGAAGCTTTACCATGTGTTGTAGTTAAATGGAGTAGGTTTGTTTGGTGCAACAAAAAAGGATTAATATTAACCAGAAGCAATTTTAAAGAAACTCATTCCAAATGATTAGTGCTAGCTACAATTCCAGATCACCCCATGATTGACTAAAACTGAAAGGGAAAGAATGTGGTAATTTCCTCTTGGTAATTGGAGAAGAGAGGAAGAAGTCTGTATGTCCAAGGTTTAATGTTGTTTTTCTTCCATCCAGGAGTAGCAATGTGTACAGGACACCAGCAGATGATGTGGAACCCGAACATTAAACAATGAGTCAAAATCACATGTGGGATCTTAAGGAGTAAGCAGCAATTATTTTTTGAATTACTAATCTTTAAAAATGTTATGCTGAAGTATGACTTTAAATGGCAGATGAACATGGCCAGGGTAATATTTTCCATTTAATATAGGTAGACAAATTCATTTACCAGTCCAGGGATCTAGTACTAAACCCATCCTTAAGAAAAGGTTTAGCTTTATGTGAACTGTGCATTAATTGAAAAGCTCGGTAGTGAACTTTCAATCAGTATTTATTGATTACTGTGCCTGTGCTGCAGAAAAACACAACATTTTTTCACTCGGAATGTATAATTCCACTTTTCACTCACCTGACCTTAGATTTCAAATAGGAGTCATTCCCACATGCCAGCAATTGAACTTCAATCAGAACAGAGCTGGAAGGGATCTTCAGGTCTTCTAGTCCAACCCCCTGCTCAAGCAGGAGACCCTATACAATTTCAGACAAATGACTGTCCAGTCTCTTCTTAAAAATCTCCAGTGATGAAGCATCCACAACTTCTGAAGGCAAGTTGGTTAATTGTCATCACTGTTAGGAAGTTTCTCCTTAATTCCAGGTTGCTTCTCTCCTTGATTAGTTTCCATCCATTGTTTCTTGTCCTGTCCTTTGGTGCTTTGGAAAATTGACCCTTTCCTCTTTGTAGCAACCTCTCAAATACTGGAATGCTGCTATCATGTCACCCCTAGTCCTTCTTTTCTCTAGACTAAACAAACCCAAATCCTGCAACCCTTCTTCATATGTTTCACATGTCTCCAGGTCTTTAATAATCTTAGTCACTCTTCTTTGCACTTTTTCCAAACTCAACATCTTTTTTGTAATGTGGTGACTAAAACTGGCTGCAGTATTCCAGGTGTGGCCTTACTAAGGATTTATAAAGTGGTACTAATACTTCACACGATTTTGATTCTATGCCTGTTTATACAACCAAGGATTTTTTGGCTGCTGCTGCACACTGCTGCCTCATATTTAAGTGATCTTAACTTCTTAACTTCTCAGGACAAATTATAAAAACACACTTTTTGAGAAATTTTCAGCTCCACCTCACTTCCAATTCTTTAGCTACTACCCTTGTAAGAAATGAAAAATGTGCTAAGAAACTGTGATATAGAAATCAAAAAAATAAATAAATTCTCAAATCCAAGTTTTAAAAATGTAGTGCAAATCTATTATGAAATGTTTGGGCTCCTTATGATACATACAGTTTCTTGGACATAGATAAAACTTATTATAATGTACATTAATCAAAGAGTGTTACCTGCTTTCTGACACTGAATGATTTTGTCATAAACAGTATCTGCTGTTTCTACAAGAAACTTGCTCTCTTGAATCATCTGTTAGAGGAAATCAAACAAAGAAATGTCAGTTTGATCGTCTCTGTCACAACTATTTGATGTTCAACATAACACAGCATGTCAAAAAGATTGTTTTTTCATTTCTGTAAAATGTTTGCCATTCAACAACCAATGCTGATGAGGGAAATACAATGAACCTTTGTTTATGTCAAATAGACATTATCCTGACAATTAGGAGGAAATGCAACAAGTAATAACAGTAGGCTGGAGATAATTACAAAGCTATCTATCTCCTGCACAATTCTAAACAAATTGTACATCAAGCTACATGGGGAATGGAATCCTCCATGCGTGGTGAGCCGTCAATATGGTACCCATATTAATATTCTTCATATTAAGTAATCATTCAGAGCAAATTTGAGAGGTGCTGTGCATCTCCAGCAAGGAAGAGACGAGCCCTATTCAGTAACAATTATCCACATGAAGATAAATGTAATACTTTGGGATTTGTTTTATCCAAATCCATGGGACGTGAAAGTAAGTCTTTGTAATATTTAGCAAAAAAAAATGCATATTAACCAGAGTTCATGTAATGTAACAAAGTCAGTATCATGTGAGGCTGTTTCTATCTTGCCCCCATTTTAAACAGGATGCACACGCACGCACGCACACGTGCACACACACGCACGCACACACACACACACAGAGAATTAAAATGTAATACTTTCAAGGAATTAAAAAATACTAGACAATCATGCCCTGTTGGGTCATCATTTCAGAGATATTTTCTTACAGAAACAGAAACAGAATGATCAAGGGTGGGTGAAAAAGCAGTGGGAGCAGGGGCACTGATTTCCGGCCAGCTTCCCCACTGAGTCTGTGGGAATCTGGCAGGATTGCGGGAATCTGGCATAAAGCACTGGAAACCTCCCCTCCCCTTCAGGCAAATAAGTGGCTGCTGTTGGGTGAAAGAGAGAGTGAGGGATTACTAGACTGGATGGGAAACTGTGGTGGAATGTAGTCTGGAGGTCTGGATTCTCAGGAGGGAGGGGCTGCATTTCATCATCAAGGAGGCAGTGCAGCTTAAACAGCGTGCTTGGGAGAAAGAGTTAGGGATCCTCCCTAGCAATTCTCAGTGTATATCTAAAGTGGTGCAAATAGTAACTTTAGTTTGGGCAAGGTTTCTGACTATAGATGAGGAACAATAAATGGCTCAGAAGCAGTTCCATGTGTGTTTCTTGGTTCTTGGGACCTTACAGAAACTGTTCTGGACTGTTGAAAATGAAGATTGACTGGCTGAAGCAGAACCAGTAGCACTGAAGCAGCCATAACTTTCAAATTTCTATCCCTTGGGAATTAGGGGTCCCAGATTTTGGACACATTCTGTAAACAAGCCCATTTGTACTTGTACCTTGATTCAAAATTTGTTGCCCAATGAGGCACCATTTTGCCCAATTAAAGGTCATGACAACAAAAGTTTTAGTAGTAGATAAGAGGGAGGGAGGGAGAGGGAGAGAGGGGGGAGAGGGAGGGAGGGAGGGAGGGAGGGAGAGAGAGAGAGAGAGAGAGAGAGAGAGAGAGAGAGAGAGAGAGAGGGAGAGAGAGAGAGAGAATATGAATCTTCTTCCTTAGGAGAAAGCAGGGAATCTTGTAACAGTTGTCACTTTAAAAAAAAAGTACTGAATGGATGACAAAATATTGTTACTTAATAGGAGAGCATATGGCCTCTAATAATTGTTAGCACAACATAAAAGGAAGAAAGACAAAATAAAAGGGCAAAAATCAAGAAAGATAGCAGTGTCCTGGTGGAAGCATTAATAGGCACCGAGATTCTTCCTCAATCACATTCCATGCAACTTTCTAGCAAGCACAAAAACAGTGTACGCTCCCTGGGAGTTTTTAAAAGGCACTTGTGTTACGATATTTTTAAAAAGTATACATTTGACTGGTAGGAAAATGCAGTATTTTTACAACATAACTGCAGCTTCCATGGGAAAATCTGCAGCTCCTGCTCTTTCGTGCATATACGGACAGCTGAAAAACAACGGGAAGTAGCATTTATTTCTTGGCATTGAGCCCCTGAAATGTGAAAGCATAATTTCTGAGAGTTTGGGGAGCTATAAAAAACGGTTTTCAGAGGCCAGTGGGCCCAGGCTACGTGCCTGTATTTTCACACAGCTCTGGTACAGTACAGTGTTGATCATGTTTATAACACAGTCCAATGATCTGCACAATATATAATGTTGCAATAAAGAGAGAAATATTATATTGTGTCAACACATTTGTCTTTATATCAGGATGATGTGCCATTTATGCACAGTCCCCTACATCTGTGAAAGAAAGAGGAGATCATATAGAGCACTTCAGATTCCCTCTTTTGTAAAGCCTGTTTTTTAATTATTCATGCATGAATTTATTTAATTTAAAATAGATGATAGCATCATTCAGGAACTTTCATGGCAGAGTGTAACCATCACTTCACGGCTATAATACATTATTTCTAATTTTAAAATGTACATGCTGTCCTTTAAAACAATATTTTTCCAAAGCTGAATCCAAACACTATGTTAAGTTAAAAATAATGGCTAAAATATACAGCATACATGCAACAGAAATAGAGGCAGAAGATATAAATTAGATAAGAAACTATATTCTGGTTTAAACATTAATATATTTACCAATTAAATAAATATTATATATTAAATAAATAACAGATTAATAGAGTTGGAAGATACCTTGGAGGTCATCTAGTACAATCCCCCTGCTAAATAAGCAAATCTTAAAATAAAAATGTTGCCCAGTCATTTCCAAATAACCCCATATCTTCTACAATAATCTCAAAGAACAAAAAATAAATGAAAATGAAAAATGAGTATCTTGCCTACAACCCCCCTATTATTTCTCTCTCTCTCTCTCTCTCTCTCTCTCTCTCTCTCTCTCTCTCTTTGTGTATTTGTGTGTGTGCTTGTATATGTGGTGAGTAGATCTAATATTCCTGCCACCTATTTTCCCCACAATAGCAACCCTGTGAGGTAGTATGACAAATAGTTCTACAGCTTTGAGAATATACTCATTAATACAAGTTGAATTACTATATTGGAATAGACATAATTTTGGAAATTGCAATGAAATAATAATGGTTTAAAAAAAAACAACCAACTCTAATAAAACAGTTCTGACCAATATAGGGAGAAACTAGAGGACAAGTGACAGAGCAATTATGGTCCTGATATTGTCCTACTGGGACACAGACATCATAATTTCTTTGCTTTCCATAAAAAGAATGAAATTAATTATGGGTCCTTGCTGCCAGCCACTTCCTCAGACTACACAATAAAGGAGATGACTGCATAGTCTGAGAAATTGGAATGCAAATGAATCCAGAGTCCTATTAAATGACCTCAAATGAAAGCGAAAGGAAAGAAGATGATGTTAAAAGAACCCAAAGCATAAGATAAAAAATATGTTAGAGTTCAATGTCTACATATATGTGTGTAGAGCTCATAAAATGAAAAAGAATACGTTCAACTTGAAACAAAGTATGTATTTATTCTGAATCCAGATTCTAAAGGAATATTTTAAAAATAGAATGTTTACAATTCACTCTCCCTCCAGGCAAATACACATATTTATTGGATGTTCATATTGCCCATGTAGCAAAATGCTGGACTGAAGTGTGCCAGGGTGAAGCTCCAAATGGGACCATTAAAAAAATATTCCCCCTCCCTAATGAAAAGCTGGTCCAACAAACAAACCACCTGGTAACTGGCCCATTCTGGATTGTAAGGTTGGCTACCTTTCCAAAATACTTCTAAAGCATGGAAAACAAGTTGCCTCACAAGCTATTTTATATTATTTTTTGTAAGTATAATGTTTAAATGTAATAGCACTATCAAGAACAGAAGTGTAGCTAAGGGTTAAAGTCCTTATTTCATACGTGTGTTCATTGATCTGTTATGATACTTGTTAAAATTCTGTATCTATTTTTATTTTGTCCCAGTATGTGAGGTGTTTACTGTAAACCATGAGAGTGCTATTCTCATTTTAACCCAGCAACCTATCCCAAGGGTAGTCTGAGGTAAAAGAGGGCAAGTGGCCTAAAATCCCCTAGCAAACTTCCATAGCTTGAAAGTAGACCTGGGCTCTCTAGCCCAATCACAACCCCAAACTGGTGAGGACAATTTGCCCCATAGTGCATGGAGAGGTGAGGGGATTTTTTTTGGTTGATGTCCATCCTAAAATCATTTTCTCATCCCAATGCTGAATAGGGTTTTGGAGCAAAGAATTTAAAAAAGCCTACCATATCAGCAACTGGACTCTTCATTTTAGCTATAGTGCAGAACCAAGAAAAGATTGAACATAGAAAGTAACTGCGATGGGAACAATGAAGCCCCTGCTTCTTATTCACTATGATCCAAGCATTTGACATTTACTTCCAATAGGAATAGGAGGGGTTTTTTTTCATCTTGTCATGTTTGCAATTTGTGAAATTCTATTTATCAACCATTCAGTTTTTTTAAAAAAAGTTTGTACTAAAATTTTTCAAGTAGTATACAATGTATTTCTCAATACATGTATATGCATTTTTAAGTTTTAAAAAATGGCCTAGTTTATGCAATTTTATAAAGAACAGTCTCTAAGAACATGGATTTTGTACATTCTGAGTACATGCATCTTTAAATAGTTGATAAACTGCCTTGTAAAATTCAGGGAAGTGTGAATTTTGAATATTAATTTTTACGTTGTTATTTTTTAAAAAAAGTAGATAGGGTCACCTTCAAATATGAATTAAATGGGTTTCTTTTTCCCTTTTTTTAACATGTGTTATGTTTTCTTGATAAATATGGAAGCTAAGATTTTAAAAGCTACTTTACCAACATATTATGGGTTATTCTTCTCACTATATTGCACAATGAGATTGCATTTATATACAGCCATCAATAACAGATTTTTAACTGATGTTCTTGCTGTAACTCAAATCAGGCAAGACCTAGCAGCTATAATTTCATTGGCTGTCAAGTAAGCTTTAAAATAGCCTCTTGGCAGTTTTTGAAATAAGTTTTGATTTATTTTGGTTTCTTTCTGCAGTATTTTATATTTTGGACTGATGTATTTCAGTCAGCTCCTAAATGACAGGTGATTATTAATCACATGCTTTCTCATTTCATTTATATCGAGATGTGCATTAAGGATCCATTTCTTTGCTTTTATTTGAATTTGATTTTAAAATCCCCTGCCTATCTTATCTAAATTCTGGAAATATCAGAGGAATTACTAGGGGTGGTGGGGGGGGGGAGAGGAGAACATGACATTTTATTATCTATATATATAAAAGTGAAAACCACTCACACGTTAATCACGAAATCTACCGAACCGTAAAGCCTACAAACTTGAAATTTGCCATGTATGTTCTTCTTCATTTCTAGGTGCTCACTAAGAAAGGATTTTTCAAAATGACCATCAGAGCATTAGTATTTCCTATATTATTGTAACACACTCTGATGCTAATTAGTTAGACGTTCTACTCCCCCTCCCAACATGAAAATAACTCTGGAGAGAATGGGATAGCATAGGACAGGCTTCTGTGGGGCAAGCCTCATGGAGAGAAGGGGCAAGAAAGCCTGAGGGAGAGAAGGGGATAGGGTAGGTTTCTGTGGGGTCAGCCTGAGGGAGAGAAGGGGAGAGGCTTCTATGTGGCAAGCCTGAGGGAGAGAAGAGGATAGGAGGGGATCTATGGGACCAGCCTGAGGGAGAGAAGGAGAGAAGAGAGGCCGATCGTAACTACTCATTAATTTTCAAACTCGAAGTGTCGATTTATCAAGCCCGATCACATAGTTTCGTAGCGGAGCATGGGTATTCAGCTAGTGTATCAATATTTAGCTATAAATAAATGAGAAGTACAGTATTTTTTCTAATTCCATTGATATGTAAGTTTGGAGTGCTGTCTATTACCTATACATCAGACTGGAAGGTCACTGGTTTAGAAAAAATTAAGTTTTGGTGATTTATTTATCTACCATATTTCTATCCTGCTTGCTTCTGGTCAAGTCTGTCTGTGGCAATTCGGAGTATAAATTCAAGGCAACAATAAAATCAAAATCACTTCTACATTCTAAAACATCAGATCTATCATAAATCTCTGCAAATAACAACAATATGTCAATTACTGTATAAAAAAACCAACAGTTCTATTCTAAAATATCTGAGCTACAATCTTAACATTATTTTTTAAAATGAGATCTTGGATAAAATGATAGGAATAATTGTGGAGTGATAATCTTATCATTAGTTTTTGAGATGAGGGCTTGGATAAAACAATAGGAATAACTGTGTCTTGGATTAACCTCATCACTTGTGACATTGTCCCTATGCTAAAGCTTTTTTTGCTCTGTTTTATTGTTTTAGTTGTGTTTTCTTTCAGATTCTAGAATATTCTTCTAGACTTCCAGAATATTCAGCTTTGTATTATCTGCAAACTTCATAAATATTTCTACCACCTCTTCATCCAAAAGCACCAATAAAAATTCTAAAACATAAAAGAACCCAGGTCTGATCCTTGCTGTAACATTTTCTGAATGTAGGTAGTCCTCGACTTACATCCATTCATTTAGTGACTATTCAAAGTTACAACAGCCCTGAAAAAAGTGACTTACAATCAGTCCTCACACTTACGACTGTCACAGTATCACCATAGTCATGTGATTAAAATTTGGCTTGGCAATCAGCATGTATTTACAATGACTGCAGCATCCCAGCATCATGACATGGTCAATGGTGACCTTCTGTCAAGCAAAGTGAATGGAGGAAATCAGATTCACTTAATGACTGCATGATTCACTTAACAACTGCAGTGATTTGCTTTAACAACCATGGTAAAAAAATGGTTGTAAAATCCGGCACAGCTTACTTAACAACTGTCTTCCTTAGCAGCATAAATTCTGGACCCAATTATGGTTGTAAGGTGAGGACTACCATGTTTTCCCAAAAATAAGACACTGTGTTATATTTTTTTGAACCCTAAAATAAGCGCTTGGCCTTATTGCCATGCGCTCAAAAGCCCGATTGGGCTTATTATCAGGGAATATCTTATTTTGGGGGAAACAGGGTATATGTACTTGTATAAGGGTTATTTCAATAGTAAGAGGGCAGCATATAAATTTAATAAATATATATGGCATGGCTCCAGGGAATTTGAGAAGCTGCCTTGCTCCAAGGGGTTTACCCTGTCCCACTCCTTCCAGCAGAAGGGGCTATGGACTGTTAATTTCAGTGTCGAGGAGAAGAGACTTTTTTGCTGTGGCCCCTCCCTGTGGAACATTCTACTGTCAAATGTGATATCTGTTCCCACCCTTCTGGCCGTGTGTGTGTGTGTGTGTGTGTGTGTGTGTGTGTGTGTGTGTGTTAAAATCTAGTTTTGCCAGTTGACTTGGAACCCCAATGGAGGCCTTCCTTGCTGGACATGGTTGATAGGTTAGGAAAAAGATCTCACCCTCATGCAATCCATCTGCTTGGTATTAGCTTTTAGGTAACTTTTTAAAATTTTAATTGTTTCTACTTTCACTTTTTTAATCATCTGTAAGCCACCCAGAATCACTTTATCACTAAGATGAGCAGCATATAAATTTAATAAACAAACATAATAATGATTGTCATGCTGTCTAGCCCATTGTTGAATTTAGCACAGTCTAGGATTCTCATAATTTTCCAGCTGGAACTATGGTTGAGATTGTCAATGGGTTGTGAGATTTAAGTTTTCATTCTATCTTCTGAGAGTTATCTTCTTTTCTGTAATGTTCTCATCAAATCCTAAATAAATAAATAAATAACTGCTAGCTGGTGTTCATGGATCAGCTAGGCATATCGCTCTCTCTTCTATTGTCACAATTTCTCCACTGCTTTTTATTAGCCTTCCCCACCAAGTCCCAAAATTTCCCTTCTTACCAACAGTGGTTGTTGTGTTTTTTGTTAGAACTAATATCAATTCTTCTCTTAAATCTGCTGACAGTTCCATTTCTGTCCTAATGTCATAATCTCAGTGACAATTTGAATCACAGAATCAAAAAAATTGGATATGGATGTCAAGACCAACTATTCCAATTCTCATTCAGTGCAGAATATTAAAGCACCCAGACTTTGCTTAAATATTTCCAGAAAGAAGTATCAGCATTTAAAATAGTCTATTCCATTGGGAGGAAAAACCTCATTGTGTTAAAAACTATCTCTAAATGTTCTGTGAAAATATGCTTCCTGAAATCTCCATTTACTAGGTTTGATCTTGTTTAACCTTGTCTCTTTTCATATCTTCTGCACAACAGCACTTCCAATATTTAAACATGCCTATCAAGTCTTCTTTAACCTTCTCTTTGGTGAGCTAAATATATCTAGCTCTTTAAAACATTTGTTGATCGGTTGTTAAAACCCTTATTAAAATGTGACTGAGAACTGGACTTCTTCTGCCAAAAAGCTTATTTTTTGCCACACTAATAGAAAATCTAATAGAGCATACTATTGTTCTGTACTGCGCATGGCAGATGGAATGGCCTGCTTCCTTTTTTCGAATTAAATATTTTTTTCATAATACAAACACCCAAAAAACTATAGGCAAGTTCAAACCTGATCATAAGCAGCTAGAACCTTCTTCTGCACATCTGTCAGAGTTCCCAATGGTTCTAGATAAGGAAAGTTGTCCTTCATGCAGAGAACCACTGAAGGGATACTGTCGCTGTTCACAAGCCGTGAAACCAAGGTCAAAATGCATTGCTTCAGACTGGTAATTGGTGGGAGGCCACAAAGTTCTTTCACAGACAGAATGGAATTCTAATGAAAATAGAAAAAAAGCCAGTTATTCTCACTGCAATCACCATGTACAGTATTTTTACAGATTGTTGAGACTCAGAATCAGTATTATATTATGAGTGTCTCCATGATTGGACAACAGTGCCATAGTAAGTAGCAGCAGAGATGGATGTCACTGTTGGCTTCAGCTACCTTAATTTCCACAGACTAGCATAATTTATAAATTAAGAAGACAGGTATAGCTACCACATTAAGTACTGATAGGACCTCTAGAGCAGTGGTTCTCAACCTGTGGGTCGGGACCCCTTTGGGGGTCGAATGACCCTTTCACAGGGGTCGCCTAAGACCATCAGAAAACACATATTTTCAATGGTTTTAGGAATAATTTTATTGTTGGGGGTCACCACAACATGAGGAACTGTATTAAAGGGTGGCAGCAGGAAGGTTGAGAGCCACTGCTCTAGAGGGTCATACCTCATATAAGACTCACAAACTGCAAGAACAAATTTTCACAGAGATATACATGAGACCGATACCAATATATTTTGTTTTTGACAGCTTTGAAGAGAACTACTTCTTACCATAAGTAATATACCCTTTTCTATAAAGCTCAAAATACTTCTGTGCATTTCTTTTCAAACCAAAATAGCACACTTAAAAAGGCTTGAGTACTTTGAAGTACCCAAAATCAGAACCGCAGTGTATTCACTATCAAGCTAAAGAGAAGAAATGATATGCACAGTATCTAAAATTAATATTTTTAGTTTTGATTTAAAGTTAGAAATTAATTTGGGCTGCAGCACTGAAGGGACAAACACTCCATGGTTAGAGAGCACGAGAAGGCAAATCACAAAATCATGAGTGACAACATCAACACACATATCATGATTTGTATAAGTTGCGCCAGAAACTAGGATGCAAGTATATAACAGCGGCATGTGTGTGATGACATCACCATGCATGTATCATCATGCTAGTGTTACTGTAGTTTGTTGCAAATGCCATTGCCGACCTCTAGCGCAGGGGTGTCAAACTGGATTTCTTGGAGGGCCGGATCAGCATTGTAGTTCTCCTCTGCAGGCTGGCCAGGGGGGAGAGAGACACCTCCTGCAGCACCCTGACAGCCAAAACTGGGCATGGGGGTTGCATGGCCCTCCCGTGCTCCATTTTTATTTATTTATTTATTTATTAAATTTTGATTTATATGCTGCCCTTCTCTGGAGACTCAGGGTGGCTTACAATGCGTTAAGCAATAGCCTTCATACTTTTGTATATTTTATACAAAGTCAGCTTATTTCCCCCACAAACCGGGTCCTCATTTTACCTACCTTAGAAAGGATGGAAGGCTGAGTCAACCTTGAGCCTGGTGAGAATTGAACTCGAAGTAATTGCAGGCAGCTGGAAGTTAAATACTACCTTTAACAGTAGCATTAGTCTGCTGCGCCACTCAGGCTCCTGAGGCACCCCTTGGCTGCCAGGGGCACCGTGGGCCGATCCTTTGCTATTTCCAGGCCGGCACCGCGGGCCAGATTTAAGCACCCCTGCTCTAGTGCATAGATAATATCCAATATTCACCCCCCAAAATGTTTTTGTTTGCTTTCTTGCATATTTATTTCTTGAAAATGACAACAGTCCTAAACACACTTGGGCCTATCATTCATATTCAACATGCTCATATATTATTCATCATCATCATTTTAGCCATTGTCTATCCAGGATAAAGCCCTCTTCTGCATGTCCCCAACCTTCCGTGCATTGTTATTCCATATATTATTATTATTAAATTATTAAATGTATTGGTCCCCATCTCACAATTCAAGGAGACTGAGCAGATTACAGTGAGATAAAATATGCAAATATCCAAACAATTATAAATATAAAATGAATTAACATTACAAAAATTAAAACAAACTAAAAAACATGGAGCAGAGAGATGGGGATGCCTTCTGTGTTAGTTCACTAACTAATTCCAGCCAACAGCTTCTCCTTCAGGGCCCCATGAGAAGTCAAAATAGCCAGGTTTTAGGGCTTTTTCTGAAGGCTAAAGAGAGGGGGCAGATCTTATACATTCAGGTTCTGAAAATAAAAATTCAACCCAAAACTCTTGTTCCAAATTACATTTCAATCATGATGCCTTTAGCTATCATGATAGAGAATTATTGAAGCCAAGTCTTACAAAACGGGAAACCTAACCTTACTCTGGTTCCAGGAGTGGAGTAACAATGTTTTAAACCATGTGAGGGGAATAGTAAAAGTTAACAGTGGAGGTTACAATACTTTGTCTTCAGGGGCTTTCCACTTCTGTTCCCACCCTTCCATTTCCACCCCTATTTTTGAAAAATAAAAATACAAGAAAAATCTCAATGGGCACACTGAAAACTCATGTACCTCTGAGTTTCGTGGTGCTGTGGAGCTGTATAGGGTCCATGACCTCTCCACTCTTGCTTTTGGGGAGGAAAAAGGCACTCAGTAAGTGGTGCACTTTTCTGATGTAGTATATCTAGTAAGTCAGAAGACAGGCTGGCCATTTCTATGAGAGAAACACTACGGCACTGATGTAAATGAGTACCCAGCTGATTCTGAGCTTAGATTGACTTTGTTAACTCAGGGCAATTGTATTCAGTGCCATAATGAATGATTAATCATAAACTCAAACGAATGTGAACTGCATTTATGATTGGCCCTTAGTAATTAATCACATATTCACTTTTATCATATCCATTTGTAATTCAGACCCAGCATGCTGATTTCAACCCACCATCCAGTTCACAAGGACTTTGTTTTTAATTGTATGTCAGAGAATACAAATGCAGGGATGATCTTAGTAGCTGGCTAATAGGCTTTTGCTGATGGACGATTTGCTTAACAGGTCTGAAATTGCACAGACCCTTCCAGATGCGGGTCTACCAAAGAAAGATTTGAAGAGGTTTGAATAGAGCCATCATCTATTACAAGTTTTAACCCCCCTAACTCTGAGGGACACTTTTTCTTGCTTATCACAATTCAGCAGTAGGGAATTTGCAAGATGCAACATTCCTTTACAGACACGAGTCCTGAAAAAGCCACCTGAATTGTAGGCCAACTTGGCTCTGAACCTACATTTGGCTGCTATAGTTGTAATCCAAATAGAACAGAAATTGAATGGAACATCTGTGTGTATGGAACTGATTACAGACTATAACAGTAAAAGAGCCGACTTTCCGTTGTTTGGCAATATTAAGATTTATTTTTAGTTTACAATAGGCTTTCTTTGTATAAAGAAATCCAACAATTTCCCAATAAGAACTTAAGCAAATCTCTACTTTATGGCTAAATAAAAAGAATGCTTATAAGCCATTATCTTCATTGACTTACAAATATTAACAGAACATTGCTGTTTAAATGCAAATTTTACAAGCTCATTCATTTTAAGTTAATTACCACTGATGTTTTGCTGTACACAGCTTTCCCCAACTTAAAGCCTTCCACATTTTGAGGAATTGCAATTCTTAGAATTTTCCAGACCAGCCAGGAGACCCAATGCATTTGGAAAGCATCAGCTTGAGATTCTTACCACTTCCTTACATACTGGAAAAACTGGAAAGGGGATTTGAAACAGCTACAAAAAAAGATTTTTTTTTTTTTTTGACAAATCAAGGCAATGCCATTCAGGTCCTAGGGCTGGGAACTTGGAAGGGACAAATACCCTTAGGCTCAACTCTACAAGACTGGTCATTTTGGAATTAAGAACCAACATCCTCCAATGTCCATTTACAGAGATTTGCCACTTTTAGGGTATGGTGTGGTTGTAGTCTCCCAGAGGAAATTTTGCATAATTTGAAGGTCCTCCATGGTTTTTGGCTCATGCTCAATGAACAAGTGGCAGTTGTGACCACAATGGCCTTTGTATGGCTCCATCTTATGTTCCAATAGTGAACATTGGATTCCAATTTCCTGGATTGGAAAGTCCTTCATACAGTCACTTGTGCTTTAGTTAATTCCTGTCTGGACTACTTCTGTACTCTATATGGGACTAGCCTTGAAAACCATTCAGAAGTTACAGCTGGTCCAGAATGCAGCGTTACAGGCACTCTCCATTTTGCCCAGGTTTACTTTGTGGGCTACATTACTGGTGACCTTAAGATGCATTTCAAGAAGTTGGTTGTCACTTACAAAGCCCTTCATAACTTCAGACCTGTATGCCTATAGAATCAACTTTCTCCTGTTCTCCGATAGTAACATTTGCCTGAGTTGAGATAGTCCAGGTGCAAACTGTAAATCAATGTCTCTTGTGAGGATCTGGCCAGGGGTGTCAAACTTGATTTCATTTAGGGCCGCATCAGGGTTGTGTTTGAACTCCGGGGGCTGGGGGGGGTATGGCCAGGGGGCATGGCCAGCTTGATGTCACTCATCGAGGCTCCATTTTTGGCCGCAATGGCCTCCTGCAGCTCTCTGCCAGAGAAAATGAAGCCTGGGAGAGCCCTCCCAAGCTCTGTTTTCGCTGGCAGAGGGTTGCAGGAGGCCGTCGTGGCTGAACACGGAGCCCAGATGGGTCAACACGACCATCCCAAGCTTCGTTTTTGCTGGCAGTGGCACCAAGGGTTGGTCCTTCACTGTTTCCAGGGTGGGCCCATGGGCCAGATCTAAGCACCCCATGGGCCGGATCCGGCCCAAGGGCCTTGAGTTCGACACCCCTGATCTAGACAATAATGTCTGTCTGGGCTGAAATATGCTATGAAACTGCACTTCCCCTCACGAGCATACAAGCCTGACCAAGTTATGCTTTTGTAAAGATCTAAAATCCTGGCTCTTCCAGGGAGACTTTGTCATAGAGTATGATCTGCTACCTGGTATTGGATTTCTGTCTTATAATTGTAATTATACCACATAATTATATGTAGTATAATTACCATGTATTATTATTTCTTTAGGTTGCTTATCTATTTTTGTGACCGAGTTTTGTTTGCAATCACTCCTCCAATATATTACCACATATTATTATTTCTTTAGGTTGCTTATCTATTTTTGTTATTATTGTTTTTAATACTAAAGTGTAAGCTGCATAGAATTTTTCCTATACTTCTTTAATGCACATTATAATACATCATATAAAAATTGTTCTCTTTATTCATATTGTATCAGCCATAGCTCTATCAAGATATATGTTAAAACTGAAGAAGAAATGCCACAAAAGAAAAAATAGCAAAAGTTTTTTTTTCCCAAGCAGAAATAAACAGCTGAGCCAGCCAAACACCCTAAAAGTATTGTCTCAGCCAATACTTAAGGTGGCAGATTCTTTTAATCTTATCCAAAGTATTGGAAATAGAACAAAGCAATTACAATAGAATCTTAATACATTTGAATTAAATCGTTTCACAGCAAGAGTGGTTGGAATCAATGCAAAACTGAACACCAAAACTTTAAAATTTAGCATTACTTTTCAGCAGGAACTGAAGTATTCACGTATGCATCTGGCAAATGTACTAATTGTGTTTGCAGCCTTTTGAACCAGGGCTGTTGCCTCATGAGTCCCATGTGTCCAGGAAAAAGAGCTGGAAGAAAATACTTAAGCAAGCTTTACTTGCTCAATTTGAAAATAACCACTTTACTATTTTTACTGCTGTTGTTTTTCAGTGAAAAGAGATGTTGATACTACCTGAATGCTCTTTCTCATGGCACTGGTAAAGGGAATCCAGGAGTGGTTGTTGCTCTCTCTCTTCTGCCTGGAAACTGAGCTTGTCATCATTTTTGGTGAATCCTCCCTTGCCTGGTGGCTCCCCAGTTCAGGAGCAATGATGAGGCTTGTAATCTGTGAAAACAGTAATCCCCCCCTGGACTGTGGACCAGATAGCTGCAGGGTGGGCTGGATTCTCTCTACCAGTGGCATGAGAAAGAGCATTCAGGTAGTACCAATGTCTCTTATCTATGGGGCTGGATAGAGGGAATCCAGGAGTGGGACTTACCAAAGCCGGTACACGCTAAGGGCGGGAAGCAGCCTGGTCCGCAGTCACCCCTTCAGTGTGGACCCTCTGGAGGACTTGCCGTCCAAAGGCCACTTCCGCCGAATCGAAGGTGTCCAACTTGTAATGACGGATGAAGGGGGATGGAGACGACCAAGCTGCCGCTCGACAGACCTCCTCTATGGAAGCCTACACCGCTGTTGTGGCCGCGCTCCTGGTGGAATGGGCCATCACATTCTGAGGCACTGGCAGAATCTGAAGCTTGTAGGCCTTGGCAATGCATGCCCGAAACCATCGTCCCATGGTCAATGGAGTGACCTTCTGTCCCAGCATCAAAGGCTGGAAAGAAACAAAGCGGGATTCCGTTCTCCTCAGGGGATCTGATGGATCCTGAGGATGAACCTGTTGGAAGTTGCCCCAGAGACCCTGTGTCATGGCTGCCAGGTGCTTAACCTAACTCTGGCCAACAGGTTGTGTCAGGGATGACTGAGTCGCTTGCTGCAGGCCTGCAGCTATTCCCTGAGCCTGGGAAATTACCAATTTTAGGTGATCAGAAATTTCTGATCCAGTCTCTTCCCTAGGGTAGAGCCCGGAAGCACTTGGAGTAAATGATGCCTCAGGGGCTAGTCTTGGCCTCGAGAGAAGCACTTGACTTCCAGTACCAGTTGCAGACAGATTCAAATCTGCATTGGCAAAAACCTCAGCATTTCCAAAGGCCTCCAATGGAATAGGAGAAAGTACCTCTCTGGTGCCATCTGGCGATCAGGCGCTATAACAGGCTGGCTGAGAGAGGTTTACATTGTTGCAAGAGTGCAACGGTTGCTCTTCAAATGGGCGGGAAATGATAGCTCCTCCCTGGAGAGCATTTCCAGAGCCCTGCAATTTAACTGCCTTTTCAGCCTTGGCCATTTCCCTCTCCATGGCCTTTTGTCGCCTTCTGGCGTCTTTTTCTGCAGTTTTGGAGCTCTTGCCGCTTGCATGGGCAGAAACACGGCTTTTGGGCTGCGCTCCTCTGACAGCTGTTTCCTGGCTGAATGAGCTCTGGCTGTCACTGGGGGAGGGAATAGGGAATTCCCTATTGTCCCCGCTGGGCTGCTGAGGCTGGTGACTGGCAGAGGGAACCATGGCCACCATTTTTCGGTGTGGCAAGGCAGACTGGTTCCGAAGAACAACTGGTGTGGCGGCTTTTTCAAGTGGTGGAGATCGCGCTAGCCGCTGACAATATCTCTGGGCGAAGCCGAACAGGGACTGAGTCCCCTCCACAATGCAGGATGGTGCTTGGGGACTCAGCTCGAATTTTGGGAACCGGGTGGTTAGTCTAGTCCCCCTCCGCTGACGTGGGAATGGCAGGGACCTCGGCCGATTGCTGGCCGGAGCGCCGGCTTTCTGGCAGACCAGAAAGCCGCACGGATCGCTTGTCTGCGATCAAAAGTCAGATATTCCCTTGCTCACTGTTCTGATGAAATATGAAGAGAATCCAGGAATCTAATTCAGAGTAAGTGGTTGTCTGGCTGAAGACTGAGCCGAACTGGGGAGCCACCAGGCAAGGGAGGCGTCACCAAAAATGATGACAAACTCAACCTCCAGGCAGAAGAGAGAGAGCAATACCCATTCCTGGATTCCCTCTATCCAGCGCCATGGAGAAGGAATACTTTCATTTTGGAATGATTTATTTCCAAATCCTCATCCAGATAGTATTTGATTAACAGTGCAGGGAACAAAAAAAGCCATCTTGGGTCCAAGAAAAATTTCTGTCTTATCAGTATAAAGAAGCACAGAAACGTGCTTTAGTGGACATAGAGATTAATGTTTGGAAATGGTTCATATAACACCATTAACATAGAAATGAAATAAGAGGGGGCAGGGATATATCCTTGCTTAACTTCTGCTTGCATGCAAATTAAGGGTGTGAGAGTGACAGAGTATGACATTTGACTGGAGTAAGGTATCTTCACAGAACATAATGATTAGCTGTCATTCATGATTGTCAATAGAGGAAGAAGCTGGCTATGCCTCAGGAAAAGTTGAATAGAAATCTGGGTTAGATGTTACCCTTTTTAATGATTGTGATGGTTACAGATCATTTGCAGTCTTTAAGCATCTGGCTCTGCAGAACAATACATTTTCTACCCAGAACATTTCTTCACGCTTGCATGATTTAACTCCCTTATGTTCCATATTGGTAATGAAAAGCTTTAAGTGCATCCATTTTTGTATTTTTTCGGATGTCATTATCACTACTAAGTCAGGAACATTTGTCATACACCACTGTCTCCTCCTCTGTACTTGGTGTGCAGAGTTTATATTCCCACCTTTCCTACTGTATGAATTGGTCAAATATGGAAATTACCTGCTTCTTACTTTCCAATCTCTCGCCAAAAATTTCCAGAAAAGTAGTAATGTTACCATCAAGTGGTATGGGGCCTGGTCACCACTTAGCAGAGGGGCTGCCCAGAACACTCTTAACATTCTGTCACGAATCTGTCTTGCTGTGTGTTTTATATTGTGTGTCACATTGCTTTTTTTATTTGGTCTCCAATCATAAATCACTAAAGTTTACATACTGTGGGAGAAAAAATTATATATCAGTAACTGAACATATTACTAATATATTTGCTCCTGTAGTGGGAAATGTTCCATGACTCTTCTACAAGTAAAGCCTTGTTTTCTAAATATCTTGAAATGAAAAATTAAGAGGAAACAACTTATCTAAACAATTGAATTGATGCTTTAAAAAGACATTTATACGTGCAAGTCCATGTATAACTGGGAAGTAGCTTGAGAAGAAGATAAGAGCTCAGAAGAGTTTAATATTACAAACTTGATTATACAAAAGTAATCTCACTGCATTTAAGGGGATTTACTCTTAAAGTACAGGTTTATAATTGTTTTATGGATTTGTAAGTATAATAATATTCTCTGAATAACAGTGTTCTCCAATCACAGTAGTAATATGTTCTAGTTTCTAGAATTCTGAATTCACGGGACAGCACCAAAAGTATGAATGTCTCTTCCTCCCTCCCTCTCTCTCCTCCCCCCTCTCTCATACACATAATTGTATTATCCAGTACTGTGCATGTGCATCCTCCCTTCCAGAAAAATGGGAAGGGTATTATAAGAATTATATATAGAAGTATATAAACAATGCCTCTCAAATAATAGTGCAGATATATGTTAATCCAATTTCTCGGTCATAGAGGAGAACTTAAAAAAATAAGCTAGCTTATTGTTGCAGAAAAATTCAGGAAAGTAAGAATAACATGGAGAAATTGAAAGCCTCCAACTTCAAGGCAAGCAAAAAATCCTAAGCATCAGTTTTTTGACACCATAAAGATAGAAATTGCAGACAGCAATTTCTTTGAACTTAACCAGTACAATCTTTACTAATAGCGACTAATAGCTATTAAAAAAACAAAACAAAAACTAATAACCAGGAATGGCAATAATATGTGTATTTCATATGATATTTTGTTAAACCAAGCTTCAGTTATGAAAATAAAAAAAAGACTCAGTTTTCCTTACCTGCATGTTCTCCCTCAGGTCAGTTGCTTCTCTCAATGGGTGTACTGCTAGCTTAAAGATATCATCTATAATCTTAAGGCTTGTGTTCCTCAGCATAGTGTAGTCTCTAGTTTTCATTCCCATTCTAGCCGTCAGGCTACGCTTTTGGGGCTTCCCTCCACCACTCCGGTTAGTTATTGCAATGTGCACAAAAAGTGTAACATGCTCCATGATGTCCCCTACGAAGGAGCGCAGAGGTATGTGTCGATAGCCTGACTGTAAACATTCCAGGGGGATTGTGTATTGGCCTATGAATTCATCACCAATATAATCATCATCCAAGACTACAAAACGGATCATGGCAAGCTCTGGCAAGTTGATCTCAAACTCAAAACTCTCGTCAAAAATAGGATTATCACTGTTCTGCTGAACAGTTTTAGTCCTCTGTTCTGTACAGTCTGCGGGGATGCCATGGATTTCTAGACACACATAAGGATCTATGACATCCCCTTTGGCACAGGCTCCTTTGGGTTTTGGAAAGTTTTGTCCACTGATGATTTTGACATGTAAAACTTGTGGGGAAGCCCCTGGGACGATGCCTTTTGTGTTTGCACTGAAGTAAGACACCTCTTCTCGCATAACAGAAGGTCGAAGGACATAACCACAACCCCCATTCTGTAGAAACCATCCAGTATGTAAATCCATCATTGGCCCAGGTGTTTGATAATTCATTGCCACTATCTGGCAACCACAGTTCCAAAAGTCTTGTGGGTTTACATTACTGGAATCTATTCTCATGGCACTTGGATATATTCGAGACAGAAATCTCTTATTATAATTGACAAAGTCTTCTGGACATTCATTTGCAATTTTACTGGCTTCTCCTTCACTGAAGGAACACATTTCCCAATAATTCTGATTTTTCATTGAGTTCTCAAAATCCTTGAATTGGACTGATTTACATATAGTTACAAGATCAGAAAGCTCTTTGCATAGCCAGGACATTTTTGGGTCCCCTAAATATTCTTCAGACTTTTTGCGAGATATTTCAGCTTCTTCATCTTCGTCTGTGACTTCTCCTTCTAATAAATCCTTACCATAAGGCAGTTTCTTTCCTTTGATAATAATCTTCATTTTCAGTTTCTCTGGAGATGGCAGATACATTTCTGATGGTAGTGGTGCATCTGTGTAGAGTTTGGTCCCAAAAGTCTTCTTCATTTGTTCAGCCATAATTTTCTGTTGCTGTATGGAGCAGTGGTTTTGCAAGCAGAGAATAAGAGGATACTCTGAAGAAACAAAGGCTAATTTGTTGATTACTTCAATTACATATTTAAAGGACAAGGGTGATGCCCTATTATTACAGTTACAAATGATGGGCTCGTTATCTGGCCCATCACAAACATCCAGTTCGATACTTCTACAGCTCATCTTCAGTGCCCTGATATAGCCATTGATATCTGCTGGCCCTCGGACCTGGTCTTCTATCAGATAGGTATTGTGAGATGAGTTAATATAATAGTGTGATAAAGACTGGGTCATGTCTTGAACAACTTTTATATGTGTGGTATCAAAAATATCACATTCTGGAGACAACAAATATTGTGTAAATCCATCGATTGCAAGGAAACCTTTCAACTGCCCTTCCTGTGAAAATTCATATCTACGAATGATATCAAGGCAAATGTTCTCAGTGACACCTGCAACCCCTTGCTCAGCTTCTAAAAAAAGCATGAGGTCCTTGGCATCTACATACTCTTTGTTTTTAGATATTTGTACTAGCAAAAAATAAACTTCAGGTCTTGTACAAAGCTCTGTGTATGCTTCACAAAATTCTTCTGTTGTTACACGAGTTGTTAGTTTCTCTTTGCTCCTTTGAATCTCCTTAAATTTTAATCTGATTTTGGACTCTTTTAAGGCCGGGTTCAGCTGTTTTATTAATTCTACAACTGTGTCCTCCAACATAATCCCATTGCCTTCAATATCTGCAGCTTCAAATACAGATGTAAGCCAAGCAAACCGTGGAGTATTTTGGCTACTCTCTATCAAATCCAAACATTGCTTAGTACGAGAGACCAGGTATTGTAAACCTGACACCCAAATGTTGGCCACATCTGCTGAATTGGCAACTAAGTCTAGAGATTCATAATTTTCTCCATGAATTATGGAGAAGGCACAGTCTTCAGAAATCTGATCTGCAAGTCCATTGTTTCTGAATGTTTCTGTGTTCTTCCCTAATCTGATCTCTTTAATTGCAGAAATATCAAGTTTTGCCTTTTCTGAATCCTTTTTAGAGGGTTCCCAGCGAAGTGCCTGCAAATCAGGGTCAAGAGTAAAAAATCTATTATAAATACGAGAGTTTTGCCGGACTTTCTTCAGTTCACAACCAGCTTGCATGAAGCTAATGCAGTCACTCGCACTACTTATTTTTTTTTCTGAGGGCATGCTGCTGAAGGAGACTGTTTTTTTGCGTCCACATTTTGAAGGATCCTGTCAAGGAAAAGAAAAACAAAGTCAGTGCTTTCTGGTCACATAACAAACTATAAATAAAATACAGAATATAAAGGTGATAATGATAGTAAACAAAAAATAATGGTGGCAACTGGTATATAAATTACAATTCATGTTTATGCTAAGCATTTTACTGTACTATAATAGTTATTGTAGTATCATATAGTCCTCAGGTTATGTAATTGCATGTCTTAGCAAGAGCAATCCCATTCAGTCCCGGCTGTCATAATAATCCCAAATCATTAAATGGAAAGAGGCAGGAGCTCAGGTAAAGTGACATGGAGGGGAAGTCCAGGGGTAGGGGAGGGCCTGGGAGAGTCAGCACATGCCTTGTGCAGATGGGAGGATGCTGTGGGAAGGAGAAGAAGCAGAAGAGTAGAAAAGACAGGGAGAGGGCCAACACAGGCTGCATGCAAGCAGGAGGCTGCTGTAGATAGGAGGAAAAAGTAGGAACAAATTTTCAGAGTGACTTGCAACCTTCCCCGTTTGGCTTCCCTATTGACTTTGCTTGTGGGAAGCTGGCTTTGGAGATTACTAATGGTGATCATGTGGTTCTCTGCAATGGCATAATAGTGAGCTGGGTACCCAAGCACCCAGATCATGATCAAGTGACCTTCGAGGTGCTACAATGGCCAGAACTTCAAGAACCAGTGATACTTCCATTTTTTCAGCACCCTCAATGCTCACTGAGGATAAACATGAGCAGAGAACTACCTGTACTGAAATTAATAGGACCTATGGATTCAAACGATATATATCAATTATACAAAGTGCAAGAGTTAACACTGAAGCACAAATGAAATGACTTGACAGATGGCGGGTTTAGGAACTGAAGTGTCCCATCAAAACAATTGTAGTACATCTTGCTTTGTGGTTATTTGTATTTCTAATACTAAGTATTCAGTGCAGTAATTGGTTAACCAGTTATTCTACTGCCTACTAATCATATCATACATGCCAGATTATTTTGACTTTATCTGTATTTTGGTGAATATATTATCCATAAGGAGAAAAGGCATCAAGTGATTTGGTATTTAGTTATGGTAGTGAGAGAAAGAATTAGAGTGTGGGTTTTTTAAAACTGTGTTCGTCATTTTATATATGAATATTGATTCCCAGTTTCTAACTCCTAATCAATGGAAAGCTAGACAGCATAAATAAATACTGCATTTTTTAAAAATACAGTTCAATGAATTTGAATTAGGACTCACTTTTTCTTTTTCTTTATTTGATACCTTTCCAGCATTTCCCATGGAATAAGAGTTACTTGGCATCTGCTTTAGGAAAGCACTATGCAGTTCTTAAAAACGTAATATTTTGCTTTCCTCATCTGATTGTCTTTCTTGTGTGCTTCCCGCTTTAAAATAAGTTGCCAGGAAATAGAGTGGCATCCATCTTTAAATTTGCTACATTTTGTTATAGGGGACGTCAGCATCATAAAACTGCTTAAATTAAAAGGAAGGGAGGAAGAAAGAAACACTTCTGATATTCTTTCCCAAAATATAAAGCCTTGGCCCCAGGAGATGGCAAAGAAATTCTTCAGATCTTTTCAGAGTGAGAAAAAAAAAATGACCTTGGGATATATCTGAGAAAAAGAGAGCTTCAACTGTGGAGCGCTTCAGTAGGTGGGTGTGGTTGTATGTTGAACATTAGAGGAATGCCATCTGTTCTGAAGCTTTTGGAAAACAAGACACTGGCACAGCTCCTCTATGTAGTGCACCTGTAATGGTATAAGGCCTTCCACATAAGACTTGGAAAACAGGTGAAAGAGCAGAGTCTACACAATAGTCAGATCAGGGACAGCTAAGCCTGCAAGAAAAAAAAAAATCCCAGCTACTTATGAACAAGGTAATTCACCACATCTCTTGTAACACAGGGTGAAGCTGGAGAATCCATAAGATCATGCAGCATATAGCAGGATGAAACACTGTTTTTGAAATGGCTTTTGACCATTCAAAGAACCACCTTTTTAAAGAAAAAGAAGTAACCGATGGGGAAAAGCAGAGGAACTGGATTGTACTATCTCCTTGGGTGATAGTAGAAGGAATTCATGAGGATAAAGAGAAAACATTGCATAAGAATAGATGAAGGTGTCAAAAAAACAAACAAACAAAAACCTTACAATTGTTTCTTTGTGTTTACTTTGATAATCACTGTATAAGTAGTGCAAGATTGACAATCCAGTGTTCATTTTTAAAAAATAAAATTCCGAGGTATGCACAAAAATGTACTTTAAAATTATTTATATTTCTGCCAGTTCAGTAAAAATTTGCCCAACAGAAAACAAAGAAAAGCTGAAGACATTTATAGTCTGTTGTTAGTTGCGAAGTTGTGTCTGACCCATCGTGACCCAAATGGCAATGTTCCTCCAGGCCTTCCTGTCCTCTACCATCCTCTGGATTCTATTTAAGCTCACGCCTACTGCTCAGTGACTCCATCCAGCCACCTCATTCTCTGTCTTCCCCTTCTTCTTTTGCCCTCAATCTTTCCCAGCATTAGACTCTTCTCCAATGAGTCCTTCCTTCTCATTAGGTGGCCAAAGTATTTGAGTTTCATCTTCAGGACCTGACCTTCTAAAGAGCAGTCAGGGTTCTTCTCCTCTAGGACTGACCGGTTTGATTGCCTTGCAGTCCAAGGGACTTGCAGGAGTCTTCTCCAGCACCATAGTTCAAAGGCCTCAATTCTTTGGCGCTCAGCCTTCCTTATGGTCCAACTTTCACAGCCATACATTGCAACTGGGAAAACCATAGCCTTGACTATATGCACTTTTGTTGGCAGAGTGATGTCTCTGCTTTTTAGTATGCTGTCTAGATTTGCCATAGCTTACCTCCCCACGATCAAGCGTCTTTTAATTTCTTAGCTGCAGTCCCCATCTGTGGTGATCTTGGAGCCCAGGAAAATAAAACCTGTCACTGTTAGGTCCCTGCCATTTTGGTCCTTTATCATGACCATCTTTGCATGAAACGTTCCCTTCATATCTCCAATTTTCTTGAAGAGATCTCTGGTCCTCTCTATTTTATTGTTTTCTTCTATTTCTTTGCACTGTTCATTTAAGAATGCATTCTTATCTCTTCTAGCTATTCTTTGGAATTCTGCATTCAACTCGGTGTATCTTTCTCTTTCTCCCTTGCCTTTTGCTTATTTCCTCAACTATTTGTAAAGCTTCATCAAACAACCATTTTGCTTTCTTGCCTTTCTTTTTCTTTGAGATGGTTTTAGTTGCTACCTCTTGTACAATGTTGCAAACCTCCACCCATAGTTCTTTGGGCACTCTGTCGATCAGATCTAATTCCTTAAATCTATTTGTCACCTCTACTGTATATTCATCAAGAATATGATTTAGTTTGTACCTGAATGGCCTAGTGCTTTCCCTTACTTTCTTCAATTTAAGCCTAAATTTTGCAACGAGAAGCTCATGATCTGAGCCATAGTCAGCTCCTGGTCTTGTTTTTACTGACTGTATAGAGCTTCTCCGTCTTTGGCTGTAGAGCACATAGTCAATCTGATTTCTGTGTTGACCGTCTGGTGATGTCTGTGTGTAGAGTCGTCTCTTGGGTTGTTGGAAAAGAGTGTTTGCTATGACCATTGTATTATCTTGACAGAATTCTATCAGCCTGTGCCCTGCTTCATTTTGTACTCCAAGGCCAAACTTGCCCGTTATTCCAGTTATCTTTTGACTTCCTACTTTAGTATTCCAATCCCCCATGATGATAAGGATATCATTTTTTTGGTGTTAATTCTATAAGGTGCTGTAGGGCTTCATAGAACCGGTCAATTTCATCCTCTTCAGCACAAGTGGTTGGGGCAAAGACTTGGATTACTGTGATATTGAATGGTTTGTCTTGGATTAGAACTGAGATCATTCTATCATTTTGGGGATTGTATCCCAGTATTGCTTTTCCTATTCTTTTATTGATTATGAAGGTTACTCCATTTCTTCTGAGAGATTCTTGCCTGCAGTAGTATACCTGATGGTCATCTGAATTAAATTCACCCATTCCTGTCCATTTTAGTTCGCTGATTCCTAAGATGTCGATGTTCAGTCTTTTCATCTCTTGTTTGACCACATCCAGCTTGCCTTGATTCATGGATCTTACATTCCAGGTTCCCATGGATAAAAAATCTTTACAGCATTGGACTTTCCTTTCACCACCAGATGCATCCACAGTTAAGCGTCCTTTCGGCTTTGGCCCAGTTGTTTCATCCTTTCTGGCTCTACTAGCTCTTCCCCAGTAGCATATTGGACACCTTCCGACCTGAAGGGCTCATCTTCCGGCGTCATATCTTTTTTCCTTTTGGTACTGTCCATGGCGTTTTCATGGCAAAGATACTGGGGTGGGTTGCCATTTCCTTCTCCAGTGGATCACGTTTTGTCAGAACTCTCTGCTGTGACCTGTCCGTCTTAGGTGTCCCTGCACAGCATAGGTCATAGCTTCATTGAGTTACGCAAGCCCCTTTGCCACGACAAGGCAGTAATCCATGAAGGGGGACATTTATATATAAAATGCAAATATGTGAACATAGCTTCTTCCACAGAAAATACAGAATGTCAGTTCTTTACATCTATTGTAAAGAAACAATGGGAGAGGGAGGGGAGAATATAGAAATGGTTGATATGTACATAGTAGTATTTTTATTTTGTTCATTGGGACATATAACCCATTTACATTCTTAATCCCTAGTGAAATTGATGATATTTATTTTTTACTTAAGCAAATTCTATACAGTACTTAAGTAAATTTAGGATTGGTGCTTTATGTCTTCCTGAAATGTTTCTTGGGATAGTCCAGATTATACAAGAACTACCAGCCAAAAGGCATTGGATAGGTATCTGTCTTTACCTTTCTCATTTGATTTTTTTTTTAACATTGATAGGAAAAGTAGCCAACAAATTGTAAGGCAATGTGACATCCTGTAAAATGTAGCGAGTGAGGCAAGTTGATTCAGATAATGTAGTCAGATAATGAGTTGGTGACTCA